TCATCATATCACTTGCTCACTTCTTTCGTCTGACTATGTTGGCAGGTCTTAATAAGGGCTTCCATCTAGCTGCTCTGCAAGATAACCCAATCTGTGGAGAATCCGTTGAACAGATTTCGGGCTCATCCCACCAACTTTGGCCACTTCTGCAGTCGTTAATCTGGGATCCCTATTTTAATGCTCCTCTTGACAGCCCTTTACCTCTCCGATGGACCAGGATGACCCGGACGCTGCTCAGTTGTTTCCTTGCCATGTTTCCTGAACTGCATGATGATTTTGTTGACTGTCGAAAGCAGGATTCCCAAATTCTGTGAAATTGGCCGCTGACTTATTCCACCATCTGCTTGACCAACTATCCTTCCTCTAACCAAATCTGACAATTCGAGAGAACCTTGAGTTCTAGACATGTTATAGCACAAGATAATCAGTGTGCGGACTATTTTCATTTATATAGTGCTCTGTGAACACAAATTAGTTAGCATAAATCAGTTAAATGATGAAAAATTAGGCGTCTATTTACTTTGACCACACAGTGTAGAGTGGTTTGCTTTTCAAAATATTGTTTTCCAGGTTGACCATTGCACTGTTTCTCGTGTTGATGTTCCTCTGGGTTCTCCTCGACATTTTCTCTCCCTTTTTTCTTCTAGTGGAATAAGGGAATCATTACCACTTTCCAGTTCCAAGCCACTGGGATGGTGGACCAAGGAGGCATCCTTTTAATTCTTTCAGTTAAGACTATGGTGGTGGTGTTCTGTTCGTGTAGATGACAAGATGTTCTCCAATCTGATGATCCATCTCTGAAAGTGTTTAGCTGAGGAGATGTTGTAGCCTTGGTGTGAGCCTCACATGTATATTGGTTCCTAGTGGCTGGGTTTTGGATTTATAGCTGGACCAATCAACATAAGTTCTCATACATGTATTACAGGTGTCTCTGTTCCCTCACTCATTTGGACTCATGTTCACTGCTACTGTGTTGTGGGTCATGGTGGAGGAACCCTCTGTTTCTACCGAACTCTCACTTCGGGTTTTGGTAGAAAATGGAAGCACCAGTTTTCAGTGGGGAAGAAGAGTGGGAAGTGTGAAAAAAGGTAAGTACCAATCGGAAAAACATTTTTAGTATAAGAAAATTATAACTTCCGATATGGTACATTACCTCCACTCACATAAATAGCTAGAATTCCACATTGAATAGGTGGAGGGACTGGTGCAAGGGAAAGAAAGAAGCATTCTTCAAAAGCATCTGAAAAACACTTAAAAGGGGATATTCTTGCAGAAGAGGATCATACGTGGGAGACCGCACCACTTCTGTACCAGGTATACTCTTCAGCAAATGTGAAAAGAGGTGACGTAGAAATGGGTGGAAAATGGGCAGAGCACATCCAAGAGGAAGAGAACAATCATTGGATAGGGATCTGAACCACCTGATTCTGAATCTCACTCCCTTAGATGACAATAATGTGGGTGAGATTAAAAGAATGTGCACCAAGGTGTAAAGTGGCTGGGGCATGACAGACCACAGATGGCAAGTCAACTGCATCCAAATCCCAGCCACCAGAAACCAACATCCATGTGGGGGTAGGATGAGAATCATACCGACAGTAAGTCAACTACAATCCAAAACCCAGCTACCAGGAATCAATATCCATCATATCATCTTCACCTCAATTTTAGCAGACCAGAGGGATATATCATACACACCGATCTGTGAACAGGGCACATGATAGCAAAGTGAGAAAATGTGCTGATCCAAGAACCCGACATCTGGATGAGTGGAATAATAAAGATGCTTCTGTATTGTGAAATAACCCAGTCAAAACCAATCTGACAAGAACCAATCCCAGAACAGTAGCATCCTCGGTATATTAAAATCTTTGAGGGATAGTGCAAGTTCACCAATATTAGTGTGACACACACCCTCTGTTTCTGTGACACTGGTTCATCGCATGATGATTTACATGCAAGATTCAGTTGAACCAAGTTGAATGTAGGGTAAGTGGGAGCTCAAGGCTTGTGGCATGCAAAAAACAATTTTGCACATAGAGGGCAGCACTGAAGTAGAATAGCTATATATATGAGAAGAGGTAAGTACCTATCAGAAATACATTTTCAGTATAGGATAATTATAACTTCTGTCATGGTTTTCTTTATAGCTCTGGTGCCTTCTTCAGTTTGATATGTCCATAAAATTATTGAAAACTTTGAAGCATGAAAGACAAAAAAAACAAACAAACATCAAATATTGTTATTTATTGTACATTAAATCTTTCTTTTTAACTTCTTTAAATCATGACAAAACAAATATGATGACTAATATAGCTTCATGCTGTTTAAGAGGATATAGCAGAGCTGTTTCTTCAGTTTGCTTGATGTGTACTTTTTAATAATAAGCAAATATAAAAAAGGGAAAAGATGTATGATGCTGCTTTTTTACCTTCTGAACACTAGTGCCTTTTAATTATTGTCCTTTTTTTGTATTCAACAGTGCAAAAAGCTAGAAACTTGATAAGCAAAGGAAAAGAAGGTAAGTTTTAATTATTATATTTATGATATAAAAATCTGAATGCTTCATTCTTCAGGATATTCGTTATTATGTTTAAAAAGTTTTGTCATCAAATTGAATATAAGTAATGAATTGAAGTATTATAATTGTTGTGAGTTTTGTTTTAAGACATTGCACACTTATAGTTGACTGGTATATTAATATAAGTAATGAATTGAAGTATTATAATTGTTGTGAGTTTTGTTTTAAGACATTGCACACTTATAGTTGATTGGTATATTAATGTAAGTAATGAATTGAAGTATTATAATTGTTGTGAGTTTTGTTGTAAGACATTGCACATTTATAGTTGACTGTTATATTAATGTAAGTAATGAATTGAAGTATTATAATTGTTGTGAGTTTGTTTAAGAC